ATCATGTGTTTATGTGACCATTCTATGTTAGCATTTAGAATTTCAGGTTTTCATGAAAAAATTATAGGGTCAATTTGCTAGAAAACCAAAATTTGGAGAGAAATTAGCAACCTGACAATGATGTGACATAATGACCAAAACACTTTTTACTATTCATATTGTAATTACGAAAATGTCCTCGCATAATCCCATGTCTGTTTCGTTTTGAGCGGAAAAGAGAACTTGACGCATATTCTTTATAGAGTCAATTAGGTGCCACGTTTGTTAGCTAATAACCATAAAAAGAGTGACTCATCAATCGCATTTTGTGAAGATATTTGATGGGAAACATTTTGTTGTCAGTTCCAATTACAGATAAAAATAAATGGTTAACTAATTTATTATTCGGTTACATATAAAAATAAATATTTAACTAATTTTGTTATCCRGTTASAGATACATAGAAAACTTATATAGTGTCACCTTGTTACAGATAAAAATAAATGGTTAACTAATTTTATTATCCGGTAATAATATGTAGTGCTCGGACCACCGGTTTAGACAAGGATAATTCCCAAGATAAAAGAATAACTAAACATTCAAATCAAAAGAAACCCGATTTCCAATTCTATTGCCCGGTAAATGGTTAAGTTAACCATCCAGAAAAATATTTAACCACAACCATGAAATATTTTACCATCTAAACCCTTACCATGTTTCTTTGTATAACAAGAGCTTGTACACATAGTACCATATTACAGTGAACCAATGAAATTAAGATTTTAGACGTTAAGAGGTAACATACATTATCCGATTCATGCAGATTAATTGCATGGAACAGAGTTATCCTCAACTTAGCAATCTTCGAGCCGTCCGTTGGTTCATTCTCTACATCATTTTCCTCATTCTTCTCTACATTCATTTCTGAATCTGATGTTCAAGAACCACCAGGCGGTACATGTCGAAGGAGTGAAGGTACAACCTCCGCAATCTGATGTTGATGATATAATACCCCTTTTATTATAGAAAAATATAACGAGGTTGAGTTAGACTTTATCCGGGTAAACGTATATCCTCCGGTTAAATTTAGATGTGTCTGACAAACTTAAGAGTTATTCGGCTAAACAATGTTTTAACCGTTGTGATCAGATGTTAGAAGTCTAACTTCCTAGTAAACATGTAACAACTAGTCAGATTTGAGGTTCATAGAAAATGACTCAATATTTACTTGATCAAAAACATAGTAAACGAAGAAGGATATCTAAAATGGTGATTGCCGCATAGTCTAAACAGATAGGCACAACAAGATCAGGAGGTTAAACAATAAATTCTTAAAAGTTCTCGCCACCACCAACTTTAGTATGCTCTTCGGAAATACTTACCGGGGTATCATCTTCTACATAGCATAGTAGTCATCATTCACTACACAAGCGTGACAACCTTCTCAGTGCCCTCATATTCTGTACAGGCTTCATCAAGTGGTACATCTACCCTTCAGATATGATGCTCTAGACCTTAACATATCCAACAAATAAAAAACTGGGTATACTTAGTTATATCCGGTTAATGAAACCATTAACCATGTAATAGATGCTTTACCCAATTATGAAACCATGTAAAAGATGTATTACATGATTTATCCGTTCAAAAACGGGGTTGAAGGGTTACTTACCAAGATATGGGTTTACTAGCAAATAGAAGCTAGATTTCGTGATTTTTATTACTTTTAGTTAGGGGTGAGCATTTCGGTTTATT